TACGAAGGAATATGTCCAAAATATAATGGGTCTTATACTTGTGATTTATCATTCGATTCATATTTGTTGGATTCGCGTATACAAGGTGATTAAAAAAAAAATAATGAACGCATTAATTTATTTTATTGATTTAATCAGGAACTGCAAAACCGAATGCTTTGAAATCTTGGCAATGTTTTAAAGTAATCATAAGCATGGTAACCTTTTGACCAAAATGTATTTGCCCATCCTCCCTAAAATATTCATGACGTCACCTTAAAATTTTGCTGAATAAATTCAATCTTAAATGTGCAAAATATGATGGTTCTAAAGATGTGATTTATCACTAAATTAATATTTCTTAGATTTGCATATACGGGGCGTCTCAAAAAAATTAATGACTGACTCAATATATTATTTTGATTAAATTAAGAATTGCAAAACTGAATACTTTGAAATCTTGCAGACGTTTTGAAGTTATTCTAACCATGTAACCAAATATATTTGTTTATTCGCCCCAATAAATTGATGACGTCATTTCAAAATTTTGCCGAATAAATTCTACCTAAAATGTGATTTTACATTGCATTCATATTTTGTAGATTTGCCCCCTATTTTCTCAGAGGATATGTCATTTGGCAAAATTAGTCTTATCTTAACAAGAATTAGCCCCGCCCACCCGCCCTTTATTTTCTTAAGAGTGTATGGCATTCGCCAAAATCAGTTTTATTTTGGCAAGTAGTAAACCCGCCCACCCACCCCCTATTTCCTCAGAGGATTATGTCGTTTAGTCTTATTTTAGCAAATAATACTAACATTTTGACAAATGACATACCTTTTAAGAAAATAGGGGGCGGGTGAACGGGGCTAGAACTTGACAAGATAAGATTTATTTTGGCAAGTAACAGATCCTCGGAAAAAATAGGGGCGGGTGGGCGGGGCTAGTACTTGCTAAGATAAGACTGATTTTGCCTCTATTATTCTTGTAAAAACTTGTTAAATTTAAAAGGTGTTAAATTGCAAATTTCCATAGTAACGAGTTAAATTCCTAAATCTGATTGGGTGTTTTTTTTGTGTTTCATTTTACTTCAGGAGCAAGAGAAGTTCTGTTGCGACCAATTTTTTTGTGTTTGTCTACCACATCCAACTTTTTTAAATTACATTCTATATATTTTTTAGAGATTTTAGTAGAGTTTGTTTTTCTGAATACATTAATGTATCAGACTTTAATCATCCCTACTCCGCCACTGTCTTATGATTCGAACGCAATATCTTACGACAGGACACTGTATTAACTTGTTTGTATTGGCTCACCCGTCATAGCAAACGGATGAACAATTTCTCTATAAAAATATGAATGTGTTGAAATTGAGCAAGGCTATGCCTGTATTTCTAGTGAGTTTTCTATTTTGAAAATGTTCCGATCAACATTATTTCAGAAAGGGCACGTATGTCGATTCCAATAATAGCAATAGCAGTGAAAAAATAAAAAAAACATACCACATTCGAACTGGCGCGATTTTCGGCTTACAAGTTCGAATCTGAGCTTGAACTTTACACCATAGAGGTTCTGGATTTTTCAACGTCAGTTAACCATCATTTTAAATATGTTTACATCAATTTTCTTAAAAAAATTTAAGGAGAAATAATTTTTCTTACATATGATCCAAATTTCAATGATTTGTTGTTAATGAAAAATTTGGAAAGGAGGTAGGTAATTTTTTGGAAAAATAGTCTGTGCATTGTGTTGATTTGAAATTTACTAGTCAAAGTGAATAAATATTTCAATTATTTATGCTAGAATAGGAACAGTAAGTTTAACGTTTCGACATTTCATAGCCCCTAAATTATGGCAAAACAGGTTCCCGTTTCCACCTATCTGCCGTATGCCTAGATTTTTATTATAGTTTTGGAAATTTCATTCTACCCTATCAAATTTTATTGACAAAACGGGACGGACAGTAGTACCATGGTAAGAAATATTTATGGCTCACACCAGTTCATCCGAATTTGTAGAACATTTAGCAGGCAGTTGTACTCATAAAATAATGGTCATTTTCGTTCCTGAGTAACGATGGTCCCTGTCCAAACCTGGATTATTCTGCTTTGTAACATTTGGGGATTACCGGCACGCGACAACTTTGAGCTGTAAATATCTCTTACTATTGTACTACTGTCCGTCTCGTTACTGCCACTAAAATTTTATAGGGTAGAGTGAAATTTCCAAAACTATAAATAGATAATTTCCGAAACTACTGGATTGGAACTGTACTTACTCTTTATGAATCAGTCTTCAAATTTTCCCAAGGCATCCAAATTTTCTTAAAAAAAAAAATCAAAATTGTACGTCGTTTTTACCAGTATATGCGGAGTTCGTACAAGGTTATTCGTTACACTGGCATTTAATCTTCGCGTTTGGAGGCGAACATTTCTCAAGTTCAAATATTGCATGGGGTTTTAGTTTTTTGCAGTGTTACTGCTATTATCTGACTATTATATTTTGTTACTATTCCAGTGTTTTATTATTAAAATTTCACTGCACGTGTCGGATTTGACATACATGTCCTTGCTAAAATAATGTTCATCGGAAAACTCACTAGAAACAGGCGCAGCCTTGCGCTTTATCATACATACTTTTAAGCAATTGTTGTTAAGTTAATAGAGTGTGTTTCCGTAACATAATGCGTTCGAATTAAAGGTAGTGGCGGAGTATGGGTGATTAATATATATATAATACATATATTAGTAGTACTTTTTAAGATAAGATTGATTTTGGCAAATCACATATCATTAAAGAAAATAGAGGGCGGGTGGGCGGGACTCGTACTTGCTAAGATGAAGTTGATTTTGGCAAATGACTTACCTTCTAAGAAAATAGAGGGAGGGCGGGCGGGCGGGGCTAGTACTTCCTAAGATAAGGTCAGACGAAGAATTTTACAACATCTTGTCAAAATTTACTATTTTACCTGATTTTTTTTTAACAGCATAGGTGCTATTACTTGCCATTTCCAGTTTTAAATCTTTTTCAATATATTGTAATTTGACACAATATATTGAAAAAGATTTAAAAAAATGCAAAATGTATAATTTCTACCTTATTAACAATCACTTAAGGCTGGCGTCTGGTTCGGTTTAGCCCTATACTAAATACATTGAAAACATCGTCGCGGTTTCCGGAGTTGCATTTTAAAAATATGAGATATATCGCTTTAAAAAAATTATATTTCGAATTAACAAACTTCAGTCCAGGGGACCTCCATATTTATATTCATATCTAGTATGGAGTTTAAAAAAAAAAAAATAAAGTTGAACAACTTTTACATCACATTTTAACCGGCACATTGATGCATTTTTTGACGAAGTGCTGAAGTTTTTTGCATTCTGAGATAGGAGGTCCCCTGGGGAAAAGTGTCAGCTTTCTTTTGATACTATTTATAATATTAAAAAATCCACGACTGAGGTAAATAACTCGCGAAAATTCAAAATCTATTGAAACGAGAAATCGGCATTAAACGAGCTGTGATGCGGTAGCAGAATGCAGGTTTACTTAGATTCTGACTTGGTTGGAGATTTCAGTATTTTAAAAATGCAATTCCGGAAACTACGACGATGTTTTCAATGTATTTAGTATTGGGCGAAACCGAACCAGACGCCATTCAGTGTCATTAGGTAAAAAAAGATGCCGTAGAAACTTAATAAAAATTCCATGGCAGTTACACGTCTAGAAACTGTGGAACGTTATATAACCCACAATTTTTGTGTCAAAAAGCTGCTTTATTGCACTCGTTGCAATCGTTACTTTATTACAACTCATAAACTAAACTAAAAACTGAACTATCGATTTTTATGTAGAAATAACTTTTGCTGTTTACTGCAAGTTATTAAGTGTTGTTACATTACAAAAATTAATACACATAAAGTGTGCAAGAAATTATTCTTGAGGATAATTACTACGTCCAGTGATTGTTTCATGGGAACGGAAACACACGTAATAAATTAACACTAACACATTTATTATGATCGTGGACATCAACATCAAATCCTCAGTAGAGTAATTGAGTTTATTTTTACATTTTTTTTACACTTTAATAAAGTTTTATCGAGTGAGGTAATAATCACTTAATAAATACAACAAAAGTAAAAGACTGAGAACACAACCCTGAGGTGCGATTCGTATTTGAATAAACAAATAGGAGTCAGAAACGAACTGAACTTTCTAAAAGTCACGAACAACATATGATTTATAGCACCAAAAGTCCTTAAAAAGTCTGCCCGATATAACTTTGTTGTGGAAACTGGATTATTAACGTAATATTTGTAAGCGTTGATCCTTGGCCAATATAAATATTATTGGGTGTTAAAACGCATACGAAGTGCAGCTGCATTGATGAAATCTAATAAAAATTATGCTTATAGTTTGCAATATAGAGGGTTTTTAATTTTTTTTAAATTACATATAAATAAATAGACTACGTACTTTTCTTAAAAGCTTTTCAACGACGTGCTACAAGATTGGTAGTCCCATTTATAGTATATGTAGTTCGAAGCTTCGTAAATTGGGAAGGAAAGTCTAACCAAGAAACGCGTTTTTCTTCAGAAAAAAATTAAGCTTCGTACAAATAATTCTCATCGCACCCTTTATTAAATTTGAAATGATGAATGTTTCTTAAATTCGCGCAAAAAGAACAAAATTAAATTGTCTGCGAACTTCCAGCTTGTGCGTAAGAAAATCAACAAATTCTAAATTCGTTACGTTTCCCGCTCGCCCAAAACCGCAATCGTTCCAATATTATTGAGGAGTGCTCCGTTGGATAAACAACTTTTTCATTAAAATCTCCGAAGATGTAAACAGTTTTCCGCCATTTAAACGCCTCATCTCATTTTCCAGATGTTATTCGCATGAATAACACATCCGACTTTCCGATAAAATCGGGTCGAACCCAAACGCAATTGAGCGAACTCCTCGTCTCTGGAACGAACTTTCCGTTTGCACGGTGACCATCGTTGCTTTATTGTTGCAGAGAGGAAGTGCGCGACCACAAGGTGAAATGGGGTGCAAACTTCTCCTTCCCTTGTAAGATGTTAGCGAACGCTTCAACTGGTGTCCTGGAACGCTGCGTCCTGAGGATATCCGTGAGGAAAGAATGCAAAGGAGGGCGCTCCTTCACGAAGTTGGGCTTTGTAGACCTCAACCTGGCGGAATTTGCGGGGGCCGGGCTAATGCACAAGAAAGCTCTGCTGGAGGGATATGACGCGAGGCATCGCCAGGACAACAGCATGCTCAAGTTTTCCATTGCCATGCATATGCTATCGGGTGATATACTCTTTAAAGTGTAAGCTTTCAACTTTATTGTTAGTGTTTCGTAGGATGTTTTCAATTTTTGGGGTTGTTAAAGCGGAAAGGTGACGAACAGAAATCTTCCTCGTGATATTTAGTGTTCTTGCCTTCTATTGTAAAGGTCGAGTCAGAAAGCTGAAGTAATTTGTAGCTTTAATAATCCGAGATTTCTGCTAGCGGGTGATATACTCTTTAATGTAAGATTTCGACTATACATACATTTACAAAGGGTCGTAAAGGCATTTATTTATTTAGGGTGTTTTTGAAATACATGTACTAAAAAAAATAGAGTTGGCTAGTGAGCCTAAGAGGCCTCAAAAATTTCATTCCATTTGATGAATCACTGGGCGTGGGTGGTACTTGTATTTTTATAAATCTTAGCAACTAAAAAGCCACAAAAAAAATTCTCATGTCTAATGATTGTAAAATTTATCAGAAAAAGAGTAGTAAGGTAGGCAGATTGTGCTACTCAAGCTAAACAGAGAGAAGCTTAATTAAAAAAATAGTGGATCAAACGACTCTGTGGAAACAACACATAAGGAAGACAATAACTTGAAGTCGTCAAACCTAAATAAATTATTATCTTTTTTATTTTATAAAATAAAAATCCGTGTTGAGTTTTCACCCTAAATATACAGATTTTTGGAAAAAATCAAATTTGTATTACAACATTTTGCAATTTAAATTTGAAACTGCAAAACCGAATGCTCCGAAACCTTTTAAGTTTATCGTAATCGTTAATCAAAATTTATTCTTGTATTCTCTCCCAAAAAATTGATGACGTCATCTCAAAACTTTGCCTAATAAATCTCTGAAATGTGCAAAATATGTAAGGGACTTAAAAAAATCAATGAATAGGCCATTTATTGTATTGATTAACCACTCACCCCTTTTTTTCCGAAAATTTTGGCAATACAGTACTGATATTATTAATGTATATTGTGTCTATCCAAAAATGTTAATGATGTCGTCACAAAATTTTGTAATGAAGAAACTCACTTGTTTGATTCTCCATCTTTCCATTTTTCGAGTTCTCAATTCCCGATTTTTCGGTCTGTTGATGTTTAGAATTTTTAATTTATCAAATTTTTCCATTTTCCGAGTTCTCAATTTCTTGATTTTCGATTTTTAGTTGCTTCGAATTTTCGCCTTTTTGATTTTTCGAATTTTCCATTTTTCGAATGGCCAATTTTTCGTTTTTTTTGGTTTTTGTCGATATTTCAATTTTTGGCTTTCTCCAATTTTAGTTTTCTCTTTTCTCAATTTCTCAATTTCCCAAATTTTTATGATTTCACTTATTTCGATTGTTCAATTTCTCGATTCGACTTTTCGAATTTTCAGTTTTTTTTATTTTTTGGATTCTCCATTTCGCAAAATCTTCATTTTTTGATTTTTCGAATTCTCAACTTTTCGTTTTTTCAATTGTTTGAATTTTCGAATTCTCGGTTTTTCGAATTTTCAATTTTTTGATTTTTCAATTTTCCGAGTTCTCAATTTCTTGATTATCGATTTTCAGTTTTTTCGAATTTTTGCTTTTTTGATTTTTCGAACTTTCCATTTTTCGAATTCCCAATTTTTGGTTTTTTCGGTTTTTCGATGTTTCAATTTTTGAAATTCTCCAATTTTAGTTTTCTCAATTTCCCAAATTTCCGATTTTGCATATATCGAGTATTCAATTTCTCGATTCGATTTTTCGAATTTTCAGTTTTTTTCATTTTTCGAGTTCTCCATTTCGCAATTTCGTTATTTTTTAATTTTTAGATGTTTCGAATTCCCATTTTAAGGTTTGGAGTTCTCAACTTTTGGTTGTTCCAATTGTTTGATTTTTCAATTTTCCGAGTTCTCAATTTCGTGATTATCGATTTTTAATTTTTTTCGAATTTTCCCTTTTTTGATTTTTCGAACTTCCCATTATTCGTTTTTTAGGTTTTTCGATGTTTCAACTGTTGCAGTTCTCCGATTTTAGTTTTCTCAATTTCTCGATTTTTCAATTTCTCGATTTCCCAATTTCTCAATTCCCCAAATTTCTGATTTTACATATTTCGATTGTTCAATTTCTCAATTTCGCAAATTCTTCATTTTTTGATTTCTCCATTTTTCGAATTTCTGTTTTGGTTTTTAGAATTTTCAAATTTTCGTCTTTTCAATTATTTGATTTTTGGATTTCTCGATTTATCGAATTTTCAATTTGTTTTTTTTCCATGTTTGAAATTTTGGAGTTCTCCAATTTTAGTTTTCTGAATTTCTCGATTTTCCAATTGCTTAATTTCCCAACTTGCTGATTTTGCTTATTCGATTGTTCAATTTCTCCATTTCTCCATTTCCCAATTTCGCAGTTTCTTCATTTTTTGATTTATCGATTTCTCGAATTTCCATTTTTATTTTTTGAATTTTCAACTTTTCGTTTTTTCAAGTGTTTTGATTTTTCGAATTTTCAAATTTTTGATATTTCGATTTTCCGAGTTCTCAATTTCTTGATTATCAATTTTTAATTTTTTCGAATTTTCGCATTTTTGGCTTTTCAAACTTTCCTTTTTTAGAATTCCCGGTTTTTCAGTTTTTAGGTTTTTCAATGTTTCAATATTTGGAGTTCTCCAATTTTACTATTCTCAATTTCCCAAATTTCTGTTTTTGCATAATTACGATTGTTGAATTTCTCAGTTATTCGATTTTTCGAATTTTGTTTTTTATTTTTCGATTTTTCGAATTTCCATTTTGAATTTTTGAATTCTCAATTTTTTGATTTTTCAATTTTCCGAGTTCTCAATTTCTTGCTTGTCGATTTTTAGTTTTTTCGAAATTTTGCCTTTTTGATTTTTCGTTTTTTCGGTTTTTCAATGTTTCAATTTTTGCAGTTCTTCAATTTCTCGATTTCCTCATTTCTCAGTTTCCCGATTTCTGATTTTGCATATATCGATCGTTTAATTTCTCAATTTCGCAATTCCTTCATGTCTTGATTTTTCGATTTTTCGAATTTCCATTTTGATTTTCCGAATTTTCAATTTGTAGATTTTTCGAATTTTTAGTTTTCTCACTTTACAATGTTTCAATTTTTGGAGTTTTCCAATTTTAGCACGTATTCTCAATTTCTCGATTTCCCAAGTTTCTCAATTTCCCAAATTTCTGATTTTGCGTATTTCAATTGTTCAATTTCTCGGTTCTTTGATTTTTCGAGTTTTAATTTTTTTTTATTTTTCGAATTCACAATTGTTCCATTTCTCGATTTCGCAATTTCTTCATTTTTGATTTTTCAATTTTTCGAGTTCTCAATTTCTTGGTTATCGATTTATAGTTTTTTCAAACTTTCCATTTTTCGAATTCCCAATTTTTCGTTTTTTTCAATGTTTCAATTTGTGCAGTTCTACAATTTCTCGGTTTCTCAATTTCTCGATGTCTCTATTTCTGTTTCTTAAATTTCTGATTTTACATATTTCGATTGTTCAATTTCGCAATTTCTTCATTTTTTGATTTTTCGCTTTTTCGATTTTTTTAATTTTCCAATTTCTTAAATTCGTGATTTTCAATTTTTAGGCTTTTCGAATTTTTGATTTTTTGATTTTTCGAATTTTCCATTTTTCGCAATCCTAATTTTTCGTTTTTTCGGTTTTTCGATGTTTCAATTTTTGGCATTCTCCTATTTTAGTTTTCTCGTTTCTCAATTTCCCAATTTTTATGATTTTGCTTATTTCGATTGTTCAATTTCTCGATTCGAATTTTCGAATTTTCAGTTTTTTTTATTTTTTTAAATCTCAATTTCGCAAAATCTTCATTTTTTGATTTTTCCATTTTTCGAATTTCCGTTTTGATTATTATTCGAATTCTAAACTTTCCGATTTCTCAATTTTTGGAATTTTCAATTTTTTTTCATTTTCCTATTTCTCAAATTTGTGATTTTCGATTTTTAGATTTTTCTAATTTTTGGTAATTTCATTTTTCGATGTTTCAATTTTTGGAGTCCTCCACTTTTAGTATTCTCAATTTCTGGAGTTCTCAATTTCTCAATTTCCCAAATTTATGTCTTTGCATAATTACGTTTGTTGAATTTCTCGGTTATTCGATTTTTCAAATTTTATATTTCGATTTTTCGAATTTCCATTTTGATTTTTTTTCGAATTCTCAATTTTTTGATTTTTCACTTTTCCGAGTTCTCAATTGCTTGATTTCTCAGTTTCCCGATTTCTGATTTTGCATATATCGATCGTTTAATTTCTCAATTTCGCAATTTCTTCATGTCTTGATTTTTCAATTTTTGAATTTCCATTTTGATTTTTCGAATTTTCAATTTGTAGATTTTTCGAATTTTTAGTTTTCTCATTTTGCAATGTTTCAATTTTTGGAGTTTTCCAATTGTAGGACGTATTCTCAATTTCCCAAATTTCTGATTATGCATATTTCAATTGTTCAATTTCTCGGTTCTTCGATTTTTCGATTTCTCGAGTTCTCAATTTCTTGGTTATCGATTTTTCGAGTTTTCAATTTCTTGGTTATCGATTTTTAGTTTTTTCAATCTTTCCATTTTTCGTTTTTTTCAATGTTTCAATTTTTGCAGTTCCACAATTTCTCAATTTCTCGGTTTCTCAATTTGTCGATGTCCCAATTTCTGTTTCTTAATTTTCTTATTTTGTTCAATTTCTCGACTTTTTTAATTTTCCAATTTCTTAAATTCGTGATTTTCAATTTTTAGATTTTTCGAATTTTTGGTTTTTTGATTTTTCGAATTTTCCATTTTTCGAAATTCAAATTTTTCGTTTTTTCGGTTTTTCGATGTTTCAATTGTTGGAGTTCTCCAATTTTAGTTTTCTCAATATCTCGATTTCTCAATTTCTTGATTTCCGAATTTTTCAATTTTCCAAATTGCTGATTTTGCATGCTTCGATTGTTCAATTTCTCGATTCTTCGGTTTTTCAGTTTCTCGATTTCTTAATTTCACAATTACCTAAATTTTTGATTTCTAGAATTTCCACCTTGGTTTTTCGAATTCTCAATTTTTCGTTTCTTCAATTGAATGATTTTTGGATTTTTGGATTTTTCGATTGTTGGATTCCTCATTTTTTCGATTTTTCAATTTCTCGATTTCTCGAGTTCACAATTTGTCAATATCTCTCCTTTTTTTGATTCTCAGTTTTTCGATTTTTCTCTTTTACTTCCCGGACGTAAGCTGAGGAAGTACCTATACTAAGGGTAACGTACCAGTTTCATGTTTTCTCGATGTTTGATGACCTCTAGAGTACGAAAAAAGTGGTCTTCCGTTTTCGTCCATCTGTCAGGGCTCATAAAATTCGACAAAAATAAAATTTCTAGCTAGAATTTGACGGTTACCTTGATATCGTCGATTCTGCATATCGCAAGTGCGTCATGACGATTAGAATCGTCAAAACAAGTAGAAATATACTTCAGTGCTCATAAAATTGGACGAAAATAAGATTTCTAGCGGAAATTTGATGGTTTCCTTGGTATTTTTATTTTAGGCCCATTGGGTACCGGAAACGCTAGAAAATACAAAAAAAAAGTTTGAAAAGTAACATTTCTAACCAACCAACCAAATTCTAATTAAGATTTCGTTGTTCTTTAAAAAGTTCGCAAAGAGTTAATCGTTAAATGATAGGGATGAAGTTTTATTCCGTACAGTATTCCATGATTGACTAGTACCTGTTGCTCTGGCATTTGTTCGGTGACTCAAATAAGGATAATTAATAATTATTCACCGCTGTGTCATTTATTCCCCTTCAACTTGGTTTGGCGCATTACTACTCGTAAATCACCCTGTATTGTTTGCAATTTCTACAATCATTTCAATTTTTGTAGTCACTAAAATAGAAAAGTGACGAACAGAAATTCTCCTCGTGATATTTAGTGTTATTTATTGCTTTGTACAAAAGGTCGAGTCATAAAGCTGAAGTACTTTCTAGAGCTTTAATAATCTGAGATTTATTACTCATCAATACTCAGCATAAACATTCGATCTCAGCGCCGCCAAAAATATTATTTCTGTCTATCTTTCTTTACCTCTAACGTTTTTGACACAACAATTCGTAAAAGTGTACTTACACCAACGCCATTGTTTTTAGCTTCTTGGCGAAGATTAATTTGGTGCGCGCCTTAAAAGTCGTGCTGCCGTTCTAACTTAACATTTTTAATGCGCTATGAAATGACCGAAATTCACAACTTATCCACCTCAGTTGTCACATAACCGTCACGACTTGAGTGCTTTTCCTGCAATGATGGAGTTTTTGTGATATTTTGTGTGTTTAACTTCTAAACTCTAGTCATTCTACGTGGTTCTACAGCGACTAACATTTTTTTTCTTCGTCTTTCTCTTTCATTCAATTGTTTGCAAACTGATTGGATTACGTTTTATACTTTCTACCTACTTTATCGATTAGAATTCACCAACTATTCTCCGTAACCCCAATCCTGAATTTAAATAAAAATTCGTTTAATTTTGTTTTTAATTGAGAATATTTTTCTAAATTCACTCCTTTTTTGAAAAAGTGACAAAACTAACTTTGTCTGGACAACATTCGAGTTTTTTGTGCCGGTAAAATTTTATACAAAAATCATTTCTCCGCAACTGTGCATCAAATTCGATAAATTTTGAATTATTCCAAAGTTATGCCCACAGTTTCCGATAAAACTAAAATAGTTTTGGAAGTTACAGTAATCTAATAAATAGAGAGGTAACACAACATCGAGAGATTCCTGATGGATAGTGAATTCCATAGAGTTCAAATAATTTGTAATAAATTCCATTAATACTGGTGTGCAAAGCATTTAGTTCGAAAATAATTTTAAAATCCCAAACATTCTTCATAAGTAACTACATGTGTTTTTATTCTTTAAAAGTAGCAGGTAATTAAAAAATGTACCACAGATCCAGTGAATCTCGTAAGAAATCCAGAGGGTTCAAGAATTTCAAAAATCATTGAATCAAATTATATGATATTATCAAAGATTATACATAAAGTGATTTTGAAATTTCGCGAATTTTGCCGCCTCTTCGCTTGTCACAAATGTCAGTCATAACCTAACTTTCCTTAATGTAAGAATGTGCTTGCAGCAAAATCGCGGCCAGTTTGAACATCTCTTGTTGAAATGTAGATATATAGCTAGTAATAATAATTTGTCGTACGATCTTTTGTAATCACTCTATAGAATGAAATTACGTAGTGACAGACTTTTGACAAAATTTGTTTCTTTCTTAGTTTAGATTATTATTTCGATTGTAGAGTCCACACTACTCAAAATGTACTGACAATGCTAATTGGAAGCTAAATATGAATTCTTGGACGTAGTCTTGAAAAAAATATAAACATGTTTCCAGTTATTTATTATTTCTTGGAAATGTATTTATAATAGAGATAGTTGAGAACACAATAGAAATCCCTATTTGGTAACTAAAGGTTATAAACGTTAGTCGAATGAAATGAAAATATTAGTTGACCCAAACTCATGAAAAAATGAGGAAATTGTCTTTCTCGCCCACGAAAAAGGTTAGAATAAAGTTTTCTGTTTTGAAGATGTTAGTTGTACTAAAACTATTTTATTGTCTGGCTTCACACACAGATGCTTTGGTTCACATTCTTTTCTCTTGGGAGTGACTTCTTAGAAAACTCATGAATTCGTATAATAGGTTAGAGTAAAAAAAAAAAAACTGCGCAGATGAAAGTGATCCTAGTGCACGCAATCAACAGTTGAACGACGTTTAAAAATAAAATATATTAAGTTTTCATAATTCATATACAGTGTGTCCATAAATTAAATATGGTATAAATTTAGTAAAAGTTGTTAGAACCACCCTGCATATTAGGCTGAATTTGCAATTTATTTTGTGAATAGGTTGCAATTTCTCTAGGTACGTATTTAACAAATTGAGCGTAATATAGTTAACACTAGGAAAATAAATATTTGCAATAACGAGTTATTTGTTTTGTACAATTTCAAAAAATGCAGTTATACCACGAGTGTGTTTATTGTATGCATAAACATACAGTAAATTGGTCTACTACATGTGATAGGTATGTTCAAGAATCCCTATAGCTAGAAAAAAAAAATGTAATTCTCGAAGAGCGGATATTTCACAACTAAGCAGTGCATAAATCTAACTTGTAACACAAAACTGTATTTTGCATTCCTTTAAATACCCAACGATCGAATCTCGAGTACGCTTCAAATACACCTATTTATCAGAAATTCCTTTGCAGACCGTCTCCTTCTTTGAAACACAAATCCATTGCTTCCGAAGACGTGACGACCGAGCCCAGGACGGACGAATTTTCGAGCGAGTCTTTGGGAGGGTCCATAGCTAGTGGCAGTTCGGGATTCGGAAGTTTACCCAAGAAAAGGCCGGCGCTTTTGTCGTCAGGTATGGAAAAAATCTCGGCTTGAACGGTAAACAAGACTGATTTGTTGAAACGATGACGCAATGCCTTAATAACTCGTACTGTTTGTGCATATTTATCCGTTGCACTTGACCTGATAAGATGAAGTCATTTTTATTGTTTTATTGGCCGTAGAATTCGGTTTGGGACCGCTTTGGGCTGTCTCGTCATTGATTGGCGTGACTTGAATAACCACAAATTGTGTTAGGTAATTCACTAAGCTGACTGACAGCTTAATGTTGAAGAATTCATTGTTATGTACACATCGGAAAACAGAGTTTTATTGTGTAAACAAAAGTAATAGTTATTTTTGACTAATCTGTTGTATCGTCTGACGAGAGAAAAGTAAGTAAATCTTAGTTAGTTAGAAGATTTATGAAGAGAATAATCGTTTAAATTAGTTACTTGTCATTGGTGTCATACAAGAACGGTGAAATTGAGCTCCATGTATCACTTAACATAAAAGATTTGCATTAATTATGCCGACATCATTGGCGTCTCGTGTAAAATAAATAATTATACATTAATTGTTGGATTGACAGACGTCTTCGAGGTTATAAGGGTAAACATTCACGCTTCTATAACCATACATTTCTGTTGTTTCATGTTTTGCAAAATGGCGAACTCTGGACTACCATGACGTAAATATATGTGGTTTTTACAATCAATTAATTTTGCACGTCGGACCTAATATGCATATTATAGCTTGGGACGACTTCAGTAATTTTCCTAGTTATGGTGATCATCCGTTTCATCAGCCCATAAACTGTCTCACTTAAGTCAAAAGTCGCCTTATTTACATGTAAGGTTACTGTAGTCGGTAATTTGTGACTTTTTGCATGTCATTCGTCTAAAGAACGTTTGCAGTCTTGACATGTGTCGCTTGTACTGTTAGTGCTATCAGAAACTACAATCGAGATGAATTATGTTCGTATGTACCCTACCTTCATTGTTGTTATTACTGACACCAGATTGTAAGCATTTGATAGCAAATAACCGTCAATTAAATATTACTTATTTCTTTGCCAAAGAAATTATTCTTTATTTTTTTCCTCCTTTGTTGAAATTATCCTTTATTCTTTTGTTGCTTTTCTACGAAAGAAACATTTTCAGTCAATGACTTATCGTTTCGTCCTCGAGCTACGTAAGCTGCACTTTTTTCTTTCGCCCACTTCCTGAATTCATTTTGTTTTTCTTTGTTTTCTCCTCTGAATTTCGCTATTGTTTCCACGTATTCGTCTGTAATATTTTTAGATACACTGGTAAAGTGATTATTTTGTCCGGTGATATGTTTTTGATTGTCTTTTTTTTTCTTGTATTTCCAACCTAACCTTTGATTATTCTCCTACGGTTGTTTTATTGTCTATTTCTGGTGACTGACGTCCGTTTCTTTGTCTCCCTTACTTTGTGTAACTTGTTTTCGCCTCAAAATATTCGCATACAATTTTTCTGCCTGCGTCAGCTTCAAATTTATATTACTTGTTTCGTACTCTTATCTTATTTTTTTTGTAATCGAGTCCGTCGGCTGACTCTCTACTTTTACGTTGTCTCGACCTTCATGACCCCCAGAGTACGAAGAAGTAGGTCGCCCGTTTCCGTTTGTCTGTCTGTCCGTCTGCCGTCCCGGGTTTTTATTATACAGATAATCTGCGAAAGTACTGGGCCGATTGTTGTCAAATTTTGTATTTACATTAGGAATATCATGTAGATGGTGAAACGATTCTGTCTTTAAATCCAGTAAAACGCTACAAACTCTGTTTTAATTTTCTGTTGAATATTCTTATCTTTCCCGCATATTTCAAAATTTCCCTTCTTACCAATACTGTGTTTGATGGTCTGTTGCGTTTTTTAAAGATTCACATATTTCATCTGAAACTTTCCCTGATGTCTGTCTGTGCCAATTTGATTAGACAGATAAAATCTCCGAAACTACTGAACCGATTATTGTCAAATCTTTTGTGTATATTAGCAATACCATGTAGTTGTAGATGGTAAAACGCTAACCAAAATTAGCCAACGGTCCCCACAACAATTTGACGACATCCCTTCAATTTGTTTAGTAAACGCCTTTTAAATTTTATAAAATTACTTACTCCTATACTTGTGATTTATTAATCCGTCTTGATTTTTTACTATAGTCATCCAGATTTTCACAAAATTGCATCATTTTTACTTCCCGAGCGTCAGCAAAGGAAGTATTGTAATCGAGTCCATCGGCCGACTTTCTACTTTTACGTTTTCTCGATCTCTCATGACCCCTAGAAGACGAAGAAATAGGTCTGCCATTTCCGTCTGTCTGTCCGTCCGTCTGTCCGCCTGTCTGCCGTCCCGGATTTTTATTAGACAGATAATCTCCGAAAGTACTGGACCGATTGTTGTGAAATTTTGTACTTATATTAGGAATATCATGTAGATGGTAAAACGCTAACCAAAATTTGTCTAATCATCCCCACCACTAATGCGATGACGTCACTTCCAAATTGTACATAGTAAATGGGTTTTAAATTGTATAAAATAACATAGTCCTACACATGTAGTTTACAACTCCGAATTGAGTTTTCACCCGAAACGTCCAGATTTTTGGAAAAAAAAATCAAAATTATAAAACAACATTTTGCATTCTAATTTTGAATCTGCAAAAGCCAATGCTTTGAAATGTTGCAGATGTTTTAAGGCTATAAAGAGCATCATAAATCTTTAGTCAAAAAATATTTGCTTATCCCCTCCAAAAACTTGATGACGTCAGCTCAAAAGTTTGCCGAATAAATCATATCTAAAATGTACAAAATATGATGAGTCTGTACTTGCGATCTATCACTCCATTCATATTTTTTGGATTTGCATATACAGGGTGACTCAAAAAAATTAATGAAGGCGTAAATTTATTTTATTGATTTACTCAGGAACTACAAAACCGAATGCTTTGAAATGTTGCAGATGTTTTAAGGTTATAAAGAGCATAATAAATGTTTAGTCAAAAAATATTTGCTTATCCCCTCCAAAAAATTGATGACGTCAGCTCGAAAGTTTGCCGAATAAATCCTATCTAAACTGTAAAAATATGATGAGTCTGTACTTGTAATTTATCACTCCATTCATATTTTTTGGATTTGCATATACAGGGTGACTCAAAAAAATTAATGAATGCGTAAATATATTTTATTGATTTAATCAGGAACTACAAAACGGAATGCTCTGAAATCTTGCAGATGTTTTAAGGTCATAAAGAGCATAATAAATGTTTAGTCAAAATATATTTGCTTATCCCCTCCAAAAACTTGATGACGTCAGCTCGAAAGTTTGCCGAATAAATCATATCTAAAATCTACAAAATATGATGAGTCTGTACTTGTCATTTATCATTCCATTCATATTTTTTGGATTTGCATATACAGAGTGACTCAAAAAAATTAATGAATGCGTAAATATATTTTATTGATTTAATCAGGAACTACAAAACGGAATGCTCTGACATCTTGCAGATGTTTTAAGGTTATAAAGAGCATAATAAATGTTTAGTCAAAATGTATTTGCTTATCCCCTCCAAAAACTTGATGACGTCAGCTCGAAAATTTGCCGAATAAATCATATCTAAAATGTACAAAATATGATCAGTCTGTACTTGTGATCTATCACTCTATTCATATTTTTTGGATTTGCATATACAGGGTGATTCAAGAAAATAAATGAAAGCGTAAATTTATTTTACTGATTTACTCAGGAACTACAAAACCGAATGCTTCGAAATCTTGAAGATATTTTAAAATTATCATAAGCATGGTAAATTTTTGATCAAAATGTATTTGGTCGTCCCCCCTAAAAAATTTATGACGTCACCACAAAATTTTGCTGAATAAATCCTATCTAAAATGTACAAAATATGGTGAGTCTCTTCTTGTGATTTATCATTCCATTCAAATTTTTTCGATTTGCATATACAGGATGACTCAAAAAAATTAATGAATGCGTAAATTTATTTTATTGATTTAATCAGGAACTACAAAACCAAATGCTTTGAAATCTTGCAGATGTTTTAAGGTTATAAAGAGCATAATAAATTTTTAGTCAAATTATATTTGGTTATCTTCTACAAAAAACTGATGACGTCAGCTCAAAAGTTTGCCGAATAAATCGTATCTAAATTGTACAAAATATGATGAGTCTGTACTTGTGATTTATCATTCCATTCATATTTTTGGATTTGCATATGCAGGGTGACTCAAAAAAATTAATGAAGGCGTGAATTTATTTTATCGATTTAATCAGGAATTACAAAACCGAATGCTTTGAAATCTTAGGAATATTTTAAAGTTATTATAAGCATGGTAAACTTTTGTTCAAAATGTATTTGTTCATCCCTCCTAAAAAAATTGATGACGTCACCCTTAAATTTTGCTGAATAAATCCTATCTAAAATGCAAAAAATATGATGAGTTTGTACTTGTGATTTATCATTCCATTCATATTTTTTAGATTTTCTTAAGAGGTGGTTCAAAAAAAGGCGCCGTATACCTGAGTAAATTGTTTCGTTATTTTATTGATTATAAGAAATCAATATTCAAAACGACCCGATTCATTTTCCCGAAAATTTGGGAATACAATAATTTTATTCTTAGTATTACACTACATCTATCCCAACTGATATACGTGTCCTTGCAAAAATGTTGATGACGTCATCACAATTTTTTTTTAAATTCCCACTACAAAAATGTAATGAGAAAAAAAAAACACAATAGGCATGCAGTCGTCAAGTTTCCGACAGCGAGGGAAGTACTGTCTAAACTCTTTAGACCAATTTTTTTCCCTGTGTTGTTATCGCTCTTTTTATTTTTTTTTTGCTCAGTGAGATCTGTCACGAAATCAAGTCTTCATGGAGTGATATTTTCTCGATAACTCTGAGTGAAGTGATACATTTTGGAGACATAACCTCGAAATTTATGTCAAAATAGAAGTTCAAAATCGTAATTCTGAGTTATAAATTCTTAAAATTAACGTAATTGTAAACTTTTGAGCATTTAATAAGCTTATATGCAAAGAATAAGTGCAAACTTTTGCATTTAAAAGCTACGCAATAACATCTATGGCAAGTGATAATTTATCACTTCGATCGAGAAACAAAATCGCACCTCAGACGTAATTCTAGCTGGCCAATTTCGTAAAAATTAATCTCGTAATTTTAACCGTAAATCGGGTTGTATAAAAATTCATGCCGTAGTCATGTATGACCACCCCTAAATCCAATGCGAGCCCTATGAGCAAATAACAACGCATGAAGAAGCAGGTAATTCACAACGCGTTTATGCAGTAATAAGTTCATTTAGTGCACGAGTGCGTTTCATGAAATTCAAGGGGGGAAAGCTCGTTTTTGATTTTTTTTATTAAAAGCAACGAAAAATGTGAGCTTTATAATAACATTTTGTCTTTTTTGTTTCCGAAACAAGGTGATAGAGAGCTGTTGAAATAACTATTTATTTTTCTTGTGTGCAACATGTTTCGTTTGTTTTTCCTTTCCGTTTACTGTAGTACGTTATTATCGCTGGTTTATGTTCCGCATTTCTGAGGTTTACTTGCATCCGCAAAGGAGACACCACCAACTAGACGACCTGATTCACCGACGGCGGAAATTGAGCGTTCTCGTTAAACATTCCTGCGGTAACGCCACGCAATCTTGTGTTCTTATTTCAATTGAGTAGTAGAGAGAAATGAAGCAAGCAACATTTAATTTCGCCACACTCTATCAACCCTCACACACATACAAAAATAAATACAATAAAAAGCACAATAAGCTGATATCGGAAACGCTGCTCCCGAAAGCGGGGCCCTCGAGAATAAATGTTCAAATTCAAGCCGCGAGAAAATTATTAAACCTGTAAGAAAATATTAAAACCCATCCGTTTTTCAAGTCCGCGAGGATATCAACGTTTAAGATAGTGGCATTAATGAACTGTTAACATTCTCGAGTGAGAAGTTAAGAAGTGTGTTTATAATCTAATACTCGATTAAAAACATTCAGAAGCCTAAATAAGTGAATTTCCTGACACGTGGTTTATATAAACAATTTTATGACTCTTTCTTTATATGTATTATGCTTCCACAAGAAACTTAAAAATCGTTGAGGATGAATCTGACAACCCTCAATGTTTGTTTATTTGATCTTTGGCTTGCTTGTTCATTTTTTATTTACGTCTGTTGTAGTATAACACCGTGTCTCGATGAGCAAATTTCAATAAGCTATTTTTTGGTAGAAATTTAGAAAAACGAGTACATTTGTGCCCTCAATATATCCATTCGCGAACGACTTCTGATAACATAAAAACCTAGAAAGATATCGATTATTCACATTTCTTGGCACGGCACCCACAAACTGGGACATATCTTTTGAATATGACATAGTATGTGTTTTTTCTTATATGACCGTTAATTTATGGTCCAAGTGAGTATTGTTCAAATGGCAAAACTACCCGTGGTGAATAATGTTGTCGGACGTTGCTAGATTCCGATCTCTGTGTGGAGAAAATAGTGTCATATTAGATGCAAATTATGTAGATAATAAAGTACTCGACATGGCGTATGGTGTTTCAGAATTGGTGATTGGTCACACTCTGGCAGAAAATAGTGTTCCGGTAACAGTTGCGGTGGACGGCGGAACGGATCAAACACAGCAGCCTTCACAGGAGCACGAGGAAGTGGTTTGCGAAACTGGCCACTCACGGAACTCGTCAAATACCAGCCAATTATCCAAAGCTTCCGGATATAGCAGCATCCATTCCCATACTCACAGCAGACAATCCAGTTCCGGGGATTCTGGACATATCAGGTTAGAATCGCTGTTATTTCCCGGGTAAAAATTGGGGATACTTATTTATCTATAGTTAATGGAAGTAATGTACATATTTATGTTGGGGTCATGCATGCCATACTTAATCTCTGTTTATGTAGGGCCCTATCACACAGACAAATCAGGAAACAAAATGGTAATTCCCTCCTCAACACCTCAAATTTTATTCGAGTTAACACCTTTCCCAATCGCATTCGAATTCCCAACACAATCATCCACGAGGATGCGTTCGGCAGCCCCTCGGCTGTCCTATCTCCCGAACTCCAATTCACTCCGGCGAAATCGCCGGAAAACGGTTCGTTAGATCCGCAAAACGATGACGATACGTCACGATACTACACACCAGATGGCTATCAGAAACAATTGAGCAACGTTAGCGGGTCGAGCACGGACGACTACAAAACGCCAGATGAGTCTCTCGACGTCCGCACCGATTTATTCTCGCAAAAATTCAACGAGCTCCAAAAATCCTCCTCGACGAGCCTCATCGAGCTGAACGCGCAAACAAACGAGTCCGACTTGCTGCTGGACAACAATCGGTTAAGTCTAGACAATGCGGTGAAACCGAAACAATCGAACGACGGCGTGCTCAAGTCCAGAAGCGAGTTCGAGATCCCCCGCGTCAGTCCCATTCAAAAGACCGAGCGCCGCTTCCCCGGCGGGTTCTTCCGCTCGGATAACTTGCCGGCGTTTTTGACGCCGATCCTCAAGCGGAAGAACCCGATAGGGCAGCAGTCAACGCCGACGCGCGTCAGTCCTACCAACAGCCACTTCAAAATCCCTGGTTCCCCCGTCCTTAGGCCCAAAGTGCATAGTTCACCCGAAACACGCACCACCTCTTTGAGTTCGCTCCGATCTGGAACGGCCGGGAATGACCAACAGTTGGGTTCGCAACCGCACAGGTAAGAACCGCGGTGTTGGGTTTTGTTGGGTTCTTTCCGATTAATTTTCGTTTTCGCTAATCTGTTTAACGCGGACGCTTGACTAATTCCGACCTTTTCGCTTTGTTTGTTTTGGTTTTGTTTCATTTCTTGTTCTCGGAGTTTTCCAGGCCTGGCATCGGGCTTCGCTAAAGGTATGACATTATCTGTGTGTTGAATAGGTTGTCTAACTCGTCCGATGTGTAGATGTGTCACGTTGTAGTTATTACAATGAAAAGCCCTTTTGTGTAGTTTATTGAAAAGGTTATCGAGAGAGTTGGCGAGGAACTGGGTTTTGGAAATGTTTTATCTCTAAGGGTATTGTATGAGATTTATGACAGTTCTACAAGCTGAAACCGGTCCCTTCAGTTTATGTTGCTTTTCTAAATGACATAGGATTGACGCAAGAAAGTACATAGGAAATGCAATTTCCTTCGGACTCTATGTAGTAATAAAAGCAGTCAAGCCGAGATTGTGTTTACAGAAATCACTAAACCCACTCACGTTATTCATTTATCGCTGAGAATTTAAAGCGATTAATGTAATCAATATCTAGCAATGGGAAGTTAAAACAACCACAAGCATTATTACGGACGAAATTGTAGGACATCCTTTTCTGATTTTAAATACCGCAATATTAGGGTTTTCGTTCCGTAAAGACAACTACAAGCTGATTAAAACTTTTGGGATTTGTGTTGACCATGGAAATATTTTCATGTCTTTGATTAAACTGCAAACTTGAAAAGTACAAGCGTATTATGCGGCTAAAAGTTACGCCATTTTGGGAAACCGCAATTGTTTTCACAGTGGAAGTCAAGTCCTTCATGGTTGAAGCTTACTTTCGTAATTCACACAAAGTAGAGACGATTTTTTAGGCAAACTTTCTTCTCAAACGAGGCTTAGTTCCACTTATAAGAATGTCAATTCCCAAAATAACGTATGGCGCAGCTAACATCGTGCTTCTGTCATTGTCAAACTCCTGCTCTCATTCCATTTAACCTCAAATTATTGTTGGACGTTAGCTACGCCACGAGTGTGACATTGACCTTCTAAAAAAGTTTTTTGTACTATTTTTTATTGAGGAAATTTAACACCCTGATTTTAAAAAGTCAACAAAATAAATTTAGTTATTCGGACAGCCTTAGTTGGCAGCCATGCAAGTCACTGTAGAATGTTGGCACACCGAGCTCCGACAAATGCCAAGTTTGGTGTTAAATTAAAAAGAAATAAGATTTGTGTTCTCGTTGTTCCCACCTAGTACAAAATGATTTATGTTGACAAAATGTCACTTGTGATCAAAGATATGAAAAATAATTCCATGGCCCACTCTAATTGAAAAAAAAAAAAAATGTGATAATCATGAGCCTGCAACGCTTTTAAAAGCAACCCATAAAATATTTTAGTAAACATTAAAATATGTAGAAGTTTTTTCTAAGTTACTTAAATTACCAAAAATGCAAAGCATCAGAACTTGTATAGAGAAAACATCCTTCAAAATCGACAAACAAAGTTGTTGAAAGTTAGACCTACACTGTAGAAACAGTACTTTATAGAATAAACATTAGTAAGGAATATTGATTTTCATGAGTGCTCATTAGCAATGCGTGCACTACATTCCGTGACATCGAATAGTTCGAACAAATATCTATTTGTTTTTTTCCGTCATTTCCCAGTATTGCCGTTATTTGTCTCGAAAATATAGGGTGGTGTCTAAATTTAGCCTTACTAAATTCAAATTCACCCATGCGCATTGCGTTACTTGCCTTACGTGAGTAGTTCTGTAAAATTTGATGTTTTTTTACCTCAACCGACATTCCTATTTGATTGAAAATAAAATAAAAAAATAATAAACTCAATTAACTTCGCAGTCGTAGAAACAATCATGCATGCGTTTTTATTTGAGTGTTTAATGATCCATATGATTTTCATAGGATATAAGATAATAGGGCTTGTTAAAAGCAGTTGTCATAATATTTTTAAATATTTATTTGATATAGCAGGTATCATGTGACATTCCACCATTTTTGTGAAATATCGACATTGTTGTTTACATATTTTTAGTCACGAGCTATTTCATGATATTGTAATGACTTTTTGATAAGAATAAAAAATCAATACTTTATAACACAAATAAGGTTAATTTGTTTTCAGAAGTTCACGATTTAATGTTTTCGAAACATTGTTGTAAACAAATATAAAAAATTTATTGTTTATTCCTGTAATCCTTGAATCATTTCTAGTATCCTACTAAAAGTAATTCAATAAGTCTTACAGAAATGACAGACCTGCGTTTTCGTATTCTACGAACTATGCAGTGCCAGGAAAACACAAAATTAAAACTGTGAGCCTACTGCGATAGCAGGGAAAATAAATATGGCATTTCATAGAAGTACTTTTAGTTAGGTTATGATTGCCACTTTGTGACGTTATCACAGCGAAGCGGCAAAATTCACCAAATTTCAAAGCCAGCTTAATATCTATGTTTTTATATTAAGACATTGAATTGAAATTTTTAAAATGTAGTCAACTGTGCTAACAACCGTAACGTTACACGATAGTTTATTTGATAACGTGCGATTCTTTAAATTTATAATGTAGGTTGGCTATGGAATAAAATGTCATGTCGTTGATAACACCAGTTTTCAACATGTTGACTTTTTAGGTTATATTATTTACATTGCGTAAACATGATCTTGAAAAAATGTAAATATTTGTATTTTTTGTATTTTTGAGTAGTTTGAAATGAAATCCAAAGGAATACGAAAAGAATCCGAAATAATACGAGAGAGTCCGACCAGAGTCGAGGGAATTCTGAATTTTTTTTAATAACATGAGAAAATCCAAGGAATTTGAGAAAATAGAAGAGAACATCGAACAATCCGAGATAATAAAAAATGCGAAAAGATACGAAAGAATCCGAAGATAATTCTAGATCCGATACTATCCGAAAAGGATCCGGAAAAATCCGAGACTCCGAGAGAAACCGAAAAAATACCTAAGAATCTGAGAGAATTCGAAAGAATTTGATGGAATCCGTGATAATTGGAATAACTGGAAAAATCCGCGAGAATCTCAAGAAAATTCGAGGGAAACTTGAAGAATACGAAAAAATACGACGTAATTGAAAATATTCTGAGAGGAACTACGAAAATCAGGAAGTATCCCAAAGAATCGAGTGAATCCGAGAGAATCCGAAAATAATTCGAGAAAATCCGGTAGAATCTAAAAAAAATACGAAAAGAATTCTAACCAATACGGGAGATTCCGTCCAAATTCTAAGAAGATATGAGAGAGAGAATCCGGAAGAATACGAAGAAATGACAGAATCCAAGGAAATTCGGGTGGATGGACGAGAATCCGGAAGAATCCGAAAGAATATCAGAAAATTCGAAAAAAACGTGAGAATACGAAAAAGTCCGGAAGAAATTCGAAAAAATACGAAAAAATTCCACAGAATTCGTGAGAATCCGAGACTCCGAGAGGGTCCGAAGAAAAAAAACCAAGAGAATCTGAAAAATTCCGAAAAAATCCTAGAGAATACGTAAAAATCCAAGAATCCCAAAAAAATTCGGGAGAATTCTGGATAATAGAAGAGAATCCAGAAGAATTCGAAGGAATATGAGAGAATTCGGAAAAAATCTTAGAAAATGCGAAAAACCCCTAGAGAATCCCAAATAATTTGGTAGAATCCGGGACAATTTAATACAAACCGGAAAGAAAGAACCCTGGAGACTCCTATAGAATTTGACAAAACCGAATAAAAAATTCGAGAGAATGTCAAAGAAGCCGAAGAAATCCAAGAAAATCTTTAGAAAATTCGAGGGAAAACTGAAGAATTCGAAAAAATACGAAATAGTTCAAAACATTGTGGAAGGACGAGAATCCGACAGAATCCAAAATCTGAGAAGATGCGAGAGAATTCGGAAGAATCAATCCAAAAAATGTGGGAATCCAAGGGATTTGGGAAAATAGAAAAGAATTCGAAAGAATCAAAGCAATTTACAGAGAATCCGAAAGTATATGAGAGGATTCGGAAAAATCTGAGAGAATACGAAAAAATCCATGAGAGTTCGGCAGAAATTCGAAAAGATAGGAAAGAATACAGGAGAATTCAAAATATTCTGAGAGAAAGCGCGAGAATCCGAAAGAAGCTGAGTGAATCTGAGAGAATCCTAAAATAATTCGAGAAAATCTGACAGAATCCAAAAATATACAAGAGAATTCTGGAGAATAAAAGAGAATCCGGCAGAGTTCGAAGGAATACGAGAGAATATGCATAAATCGGAAAAAATCAAAATGAATTTGAGTGAATCCCAGAGAATCCGAAAGAATATGATAGAATCCGGCAGAATTGAAGACAATCCGGAAGGAAAGAACCCTGGAGACTCCTATAGAATTTGACAAAACTGGATAAAAAATCCTAAAGAATGCCAAAGAAGCCAAAAAAAAATCCAAAAGAATCCCCAGAAAGTTCGAGAGAATCCGAGAGAAAACTGAAGAGTTCGAAAAAATACGAGATAATTAAAAATATTACGAAGTACGAGATTCCGGAAGAAACCAAAAGAATCCAATAGAATCCGAAAAAAAAATCTATACAATATTGAGGAATCCGTCCAAAATCTGAGAAGATGCGAGAGAATCTGGAAAAATCCAAAAATCTGAGAGAATCCGAGGGAATTTGGGAGAATAGAAGAGAATCCGAAAGAATCAAAGCTGTTTAGAGAGAATCTCAGAGAATCCGAAAGAATATGAGAGATTTCGGAAAAGTCCGAGAGAGTTCGGAAGAAATTCTAAAAGATACGAAAGAATCCGAGAAAATTCCCGAGGTCGAGAGAAACCTGAAGAATTCGAAAGAATACAGAAGAATTCAAAATATTCTGAGAGAAAGCACGATAATCCGAAAGAATTCGAGAGAATAAGACATAATCCAAAAGAATACGAAAAAAATCCTAAACGATACGAGAGAATCCGTCCAAATTCTG